GTGGTGAGAATGAGGCTCTTTATCCCCACCCAGGGCTATTCCAGTCAACTGTCCAGAAATAAGTGACATAAGAAGGTAGCAACCTCCTGTTTTTAAGTAGGGGAGGAAGAGCATCTTCCTTGCCCTGCTACCAATAATTAAATGGAAGTAATGTTGGATTAAGGGCAGGATGGGATTATGTTGTGAGTAAAGAGTAAGCTGTAAAAAGCTTCCAAGAGAAGTGATACAGTATACAGCGGCACTCAGGCATACAGTAGCCCCTACAGGCCTGAGAAGAATAGGTCTGCACTCCCAGCAGATGCCTGAAACTATGAATAGTGCCCAAGTCAACAGTCCAGACGTTCTCCTATGCATATGTACCTGTGACAAAGTTTAATTTACAAATGAAACACACTAAGAGATTAGCAACAGCTAATATTAAAATGTAACAATTACAATAGCATACCACAATAAACATTACATGGATGTAGTCTATCTACTTATCTACCACCTATCTATCTACCTATCATCTATCTGTCATCATCTATCTGTAGTGAATGTACTCTTCTATTGATGATGCTGTGTGTTATCATGTAATGAATACCTTAGAATGATTTAACAGCAGTGCTAGGCTGCTATTGACCTCCTAACTATGTGTCAGAAGGATGAGCATCAAGGTATGGCAATGTCTTTGACCATAGATAACTGAAACCACAGAAGGGGAAACCACAGGGAAATGAGGGTTACCCACATGTTAAAGTCAAAGAGATCCAAGTTCATGGGTTTCAAACAGATCCAGGAGGTCCTGTCCCAGAGAATCCCAGGAGAAATGAAGGTAGAGCCTAGAAGCCAAAGTGATTTTCTTAGTTTTCTCAAGCCTTTCCTTGGAGCATCCAAGGTGAGTTTCTCTTTTACCTCCACTGTACTTTGGAATTCTAGGTAGAGTTTTCATCCAAGGGAAAAGAGTACTTCTTAAAAGCCAAGGCAACTACATACCTAACAGAGTCCACACACTGAATTAAATATATGAAGGTGAACCCTTGGAAGGCCCCCATTCAAGTAAGAGATAAGCTTCTCTCCTTTTTTGCCAATGTCTACCCTTCATGGTAAACACACACACACACACACACACGCACGCACGCACGCACACACACACACATACACACACACCTTTAACAGTTACCTCACTATCAAGTGTCCCTGTTTGTGCTTTCTTTCCATTTGATGAACCTAACGGTCTAGTCGGTCTTCAGATGTGGTCACAGGACTCTGGCTGTTGAATCAAACCATCAGAATTCTGATTATTTAAAAGTTGTCACCACAGGGGGCTGGAGAGGTGTCCAGTTGAAAGTACTTTGTATTCTTACAGAGAAGGCTCCAGTCCAGTTCTCCGCACCCACATGGTCACTCACAACCATCTGTAGCTCCAGGAGAGTTCCAGGCAAAGCTCTTATGCATATAACACATATAAAATTAATAAATCTTTAAAAGGCAAAATCTCCACACAGTCTGCTTTGAGTCTTATCATCAAATTCAGGCAATACCGTTTTCCTTTAAAAAACAGCTCCAATTTAATTTCCTAGATGGCAGACTAGATTTGTAAGAGTTCTTCTTCTGCCCCTTTTTAATATCTCCTAAAAATCAAATATTACCAAGGAGCTCTGTCTTAATTCAGGCTCTCTAGGAGGGCCTAAGTGAAGGAATAGGAAATTCTTTAATCTTCAGTGGCGGGGGAGGGGTGGTGGCAGGAAACCCATAGGCAGAATCAAAAGGAGTTTGACTAGGTGATATGAGCAGGAATGTAGAAATTTAGAAAAAACAATATATTTGACATATTACTTTTCAAATAAAAACATTTAAGTATTCACTATGAGGGAAAAATTCTAAACTCTGCGACTGTAAGAGCTAGCTTTCTCTTCCCTAGGAAGTTACATGTGAAGGCGCTTCACCAGGCCCTATCACCCACTGACCCCTGACCTGCACAGCTCACCCCTCAGGCTTCCCTCCCAGGTGGATCTTGCTCCTTCTCTTTGGGAAATAGATTTGCCCCAGGTGAGAGGTGTGCACAAAACAGTTGCAAAGTGAAATCTCTTGTCAACTCACCAGACAGGCTTGGTGGCTCGAGCTTCAGTGGGATCTGGTTCCTCTGTGTGTGAGATTGGCCTTAAGGGGTTTGCCCTTGAGTTCAACTCTCTCCATACTTGGTTTGATGCCTCTGAAACAAGACAGAAAGCATTATGGAGTTCTTTGGGAGCACAATAAAGCACTACAAAGTAATGGATGGTGTGGCTCTTCACAAGAAAGCCTAGCTAATTCTTATTGGGGTAAGCTTGTGCTTAAGACATGCAACCTCCCCTCCCATCTAGAAATGAAAAGATCAGTTATCAAGGGGAGATGTAGAAGGATTTAGTGTGTTTTCTTTACAGTTTTTACTGCTGTCTTTCAAGGATTCTGTTCTCTCCAAGAAAAATAGAGACAGAAATTCTAGTATTTATCTTTGGGGATATATGTCTGTGCAAATGATGTGTGACATTTTATGAGAGGGTGTAAACGTGTGTGCAGGACTGAAGTGTGAATTGCTGCTATGTATTCGTAATTGATGGGAGCTCGGTATCTGTGTGTGTGTTTCTGAGTGTGAATGCAGTCTAAGCAAGAATGCCCATTTATAAATGGATGGGTATTGAAAAGGTTAAGAACACACAACTGAGGCAGATGTTAATGAGTTCACAGATATTTCTTTAAGTGTCACGATTTTCTTCTGATAAAGAAATGATGGGGGGACACAGAGGAAAGCAGTAGGGTTTTCCTTTTTCTTTCGGTTAATAAATTTCAACAGCAGGAGTGCAGACTATTGGCTACAGAGTATGGTAGAGTTAAACAAGATTTCTTTTGTGGGGCAGTAATTACGCTGAGTACAGATAAGAAACGAAACCTTTCTGGGAGGAAGTTTTATTCCTGAATCCATTGCTCATCTGTGTGCATGGTCTAATTGCTGAAAGCTCCAGACTGGGGTTCAGGGCGTTAAGGAAAGAAAGTCTTCTTTTAGGAGTAATTGGGGGCGCTTGCATGATGGGAAAATCTACTAAACAGGAGCTCTGCTCAGCATTCCCCATGAGTTTCAAGGCACAAAACATGATTTGGGGGTGAGGCCAGGCAGTTTTCTGCAAAAATAGCTGGCAGGGTCTGGCCCAGTAGAACATTCTTTCCTCTGCTCCTTTGGCAAACGAGCCAATGATCTAAGTACCCACATGTCTGCCTCTTCAAAGGGATTCTACCAGGCCCTTTCACCCACAGAAGCCAAGACTGATGGGCCACCATATGACCAGCTGGAACATACTGGTGCCCCTTGTTGGGGGGAGTGCTTTGGGGAGCCTGCAAAGCCTGCAGGCATGGGCTGCAGAGGCAGGGGAGGGGAGGGGGCAGCATCTGGGGGGGAGGGATGGACCCTATTGTCCTCCGGGCCTGGGGAGGATGCAGGGTCATTAGGTAGAGGATGATGCTGTAGCTGTTAGCCTGAGGAAACGGCTCACTTTTGTTTTCCACCCAGTAGGAAATGGACCTGAATCCATTAGATTCTGGGCAGTTCAACCCGGCACAGTTTGAGCCCTTGGAAGCTAGATGCCAAAAAGGCTACTAGTGTGGATTTGTGGCCCACCACCATTGTGCAGCGTGCCTATCATTTATGCATTTAAAGGCTGTCAGGCTGGCAGTCTGCAGCAGAGGGCTGGAAGACAGTAATGCCAACAGACACCGGGGATGGTAAAGTGCACCTGTAGAGTTAAAAATGCATGACCCATTCCCTCTTTGAGGGAACATAGGAGAAAGACCCCCGTCCTGGAGGGTGTCTGCTGAGCTGTAATACATAATTCACGGGCCCATGCTGGTCCATGCAGATGGCGGTATTAAATCGTGATTGATGCTCTGAGACACACTATGCTCTCGAAGGACTCCAAGAGGCTTTGGAATATTTCTGTCCCTTGTGCCCCTCTGCTCTTACTGTGGTATTTAGCAAACCTCACTATTTCCCAAGAACCCCTACTAGGCGTTGCACAAATTCCCTCCTGGATAGATGAGGTTCTTCAAATGTCATCACCCACCTTTGCTGCCTTTGAAGTTTGTCCCTTCCCTCCTGGCCCACTGAGGCTGTTGATATCCAGCCAGGCACCCTAGGAGAGGGGCGCCAGGTCTTTCTCTGCCTGGGCCTTTCCAGAAGCACCAGCACACTCTGGTGGCAACAGTGGAGCCAGAGAGACAGTGGGCAGAAAGCATAGAGAAAGCTAAGGCGTCTGGTCCACCCAACACAAAGCACCTTTGTGGAAATGCCCAGATCCGAGCCAACAGATTCTCCGATACAGATTCTTCCACTCAGTGTATAATGAAATAATAAATCAAATCTGTGGTGTGTGTGTAATTCAGTGTTTTGGGGGCTTTCTTTAAAAATAACCTGAAATCACCCTCTAGGGCCTGTTTTGGCCCAAAGCTGAAAGTGCCTCCTCACACCTCTTTAATTGTTGCCAGGCTTGCTTGTGGGTTGGTACCACAAAACCACGATTGTCAGTTCCTGGAGCCCGGCTGTTGGCTGACTGTGCTGGACTAGGAGACACCAAATAAAATGAAGGATTTATGAGACAAAGATAGAGATGGGAAGCTTGAAGGAAGAGAGGAAGATGACCAAGGAAGGGAGACAGGAAAAGGCAGGGAGACTTCTTAAGAGTATAGTCTTGTTTTTATAATCTTCAGTCTTGTAATTGGAATATTTATGATCATTTTTCTGGAGTGTGTGTCTGTGTGTGTGTGTGTGTGTGTGTGTGTGTGTGTGTGTGTGTGTGGTCAGGTGGCTACGAGGAGCAAAGAGTTGAAATAATCTCTTCCACTGGATGAATAAATAGGTTAGTCTCCTGGACTGACTGCCATAAAAGGTCTGTAAAATAGTTGTGATCAGCCCCTGGGTGGGAGGAGAGGCCGAGGGAGGCTTCAGGAGCATATCTCAAGTTCTTTGGTGGTGTTGCTCTCTCTTCCAGACCCACCCTGTGGAGGTCGGCTGAATTCCAAGGATGCGGGCTACATCACCTCCCCAGGTTACCCCCAGGACTATCCCTCTCACCAGAACTGTGAGTGGGTCGTCTACGCCCCCGAACCCAACCAGAAGATTGTCCTCAACTTCAACCCTCACTTTGAAATCGAGAAGCACGACTGCAAGTAAGCACAGCCCTGCTGACTGGGGGCACAAAAATCTGGCTGCCGTCATGATAGTTTGTCCTTTTTATCCATGAAAGACAACAGTGAGTCCCAACCACAAAGAGACACACAAAGATAGCGTTAACTTTTAGGAGAGGTAGGGTGGAGCTGATTCCATGGTATTGTAAAGAACTTTGTGGAATAAGGTACAGAAAACAGTGGTGCCCTGTCTGCAGAAGTTGGCAGTGGAAGAGTTTCCATGGGGGTGGGAAGTGGGCTACAAAACCCCACTTACTGGCTCTATGATTTAACTTCCCTTGGAGAGCTCCCCGTTTCAACCGCTGCCTTATCAGGGAGCCCTGACAGCTTCCCAAATAAAATAGTGGCTAGATCCTCAAATATACCCATCATTGGGGGATTGGCTTATTGCTTTTTGACGGGGCTGCTCATTGCTTAAAATGAGTAAGAAATACTGACTTGACGAAGGCAGGCTTAAGACTCCAGTTGATTCTTGATGTCTAGCTGCTCAGGTTACTATCAAAGATGCAGGTATGGATTTGTCCTACAAACACAGTCTTAATTGCTCTACAAATAATTAAGCTACCATGCCCCTGGGAAGACGGTGCCACCGTGACCTCCATTTTAACTCGAGAACACTAAAGCACAGAGAGGTTAAGTCAGTCACTCAAGGCGACTCAGCTGATCTAACACCACGACATCAGTCCAGTCACCTTGGGATTGTGGACAGCTAGACAGCTGCTCTTGAGATGCTGTGCTCGAGTGGGGAAGCAGACAGGTAGAAGTGTGGAGAATAGAGATGACTGAGCAGTGGTTAAAGTTCTGCCCTGGGCGTGTCCCCGTGACTTGAAAGTGAAAGTGTTCGGTTCAGAAAAGAACTCAGCATTGACAGCTTTAGTCTTTGTACCATACCCTCTGGAAGGTGCTCAGTGTTCACAAGATGAGTAAGATTCTAAGCATTACTGTGACCAAGGAATTGTGAGTCCTGAATAATTGCTAAGGGGGATACCTTGTGGGGTAGGTTTAAGAGAGTGTTCAACACTCCTGGCCTCCATTGCAGAGCAGACTGCCTCCGAAGGAAACAAGGCCTGTCTGTAACTAGCACTATACTCTGAGACCTGGAGAGCTGTTGTCGTTATTATCCTCCCAGGACCACTTTGCACCTACAGAATGGTTTCCTTCTAACAGGAGGTAGTCCGTGTTGAAAACCAAAGAGTTTCCCGGATGGATGCTGCACATGACCCAGAGTCACAGGATGAGGTTTCTAATTCCAGGGCCAGTCTTGGCTGCCTGGGTGACAAAGCGAATCAGTTCCCCTTTGTCTGTGTCACACAGACATACTGAACACATTGACTCAGCATCCCCAGGCTTCCACTTCCCCAACAGTGAACTTTACAAAGAAAAGGGAGGGGGGTAGAACAGTTTCTGTAAAAGGTATTTTGGGTCCGGGAGCCTTTGGCTAGGCTGCAGAAGGTTGGCGTCAACCGAAGCATAATGTACAGGGTGCTTGAGAATGAGCTCAGGGAAATTTGACTAAGCACCTCTCTGGATGGAGGGCCAAATTCGGTCCTGCTGATACCAGCAAAATCTCTAGGGGAAATTGCTAAGAGGCCATTTTATGGATGTTCACGATGACAGAGGAAAGGGGCCCAGCTTTTTAGAAGGCTGGACCCAGATGGCCATGAGCAAAGCTCCAAATATATTGGGAAGACTAAAAGGCTAAGGAAGCACACAGAAGCCCCAGGACCCATCCTCCAGGGTCGGGAGAGCCTGGTGCAGAGCCTCCATCAGCAGAAGGGACACCAACCTCACCCTTGCTGGAGTCTGACGAGAGGAAACAGGCAAGTTACAGGCTATCTCCCAGATTCTCTGCCTCCCTAAGCAGTTTCCTGTTTTCCCTTACACTCCCCATCCATGCTGCTGGCTTCAACCTAAAAGGTCAAAGAGGCCAGAAAAAATCTCTCTGGAATCTATTTCCCCCAGTGCCAAATTGTCGGCAAGGCTCCTCTGGGGTTAAGTTTCATCCACTTAGCCTTGCTCTTGGTCCTCACCCACCCCACCTCTACTCCTCCACTCCCCATTCTCTGTCTCTCTCATTAATTTTTATATTTAGAAGGCTGTATCTGGTCTCTCGGTCTCTTATTTGTGAACATTTGCATACAGAACAAGGGCTTGCCTCTCCCCGTGCCCACTTTACTTTCCTGGGAAAGAAACACTTCTCATTAAATCCCAGAATTTTTAAAGATAATTTGTTTATGTTTATTTTATGTGCATTAGCGTCTTGCTTGCACGTATGTCTATGTGAAGGTGTCCCTGCAACTGGAGGAATAGACAGTTGTGAGCTGTCATGTGAGTGCTGGGAATTGAACCCAGGTCCTCTGGAAGAGCAACTAGTGCTCTTAACTGTTGAGCCTTCTTTCCAGTCCCAAATCCTGGAAGTTTTGTCTTGTTCTCATACTCTTTACAACTTTTTCTCTTCCACACTGCATTGCTTCCTCTCCTAAGAGTTCCTGGATTTGTAGTGCATTTGCTATCAAAGGAAATTGGCCTCCTCTTTCTTTGCATCTTGGGGACATGTTCAGTTGTCTACGTCAAAGTGTATGTGTTAGATACCTCTCCCAACAGAAAATTGCCCCAGCTGCCCTTCTCTGTGGGCAACAGCTCTTAACAGAAAGGGGAAATGAACAGCAAAGGCAACCTCCATGCCTGCCCAAATTTTCTCTTCTGCTTTCTGTCCATGGAATTATCTACCAAAATTGCCCTATGAACTAAGACCAGGGCCCTGACTGGAAGGATTATTCTGCTGTGTGGCACCTAAACCTTTGTCTTGAAATCTTCACCACAAAGGTTGAAGCTGTTACTGAGCAAACCCCAGACAAATCTTTCTCTGACCGCTGCCCATTCATTTTGTTCCACTGAAGCCTGCTGTCTGCTCGGAAAATTTCACTCACAAGCGTCAGCCGTTCTGTGCCAGTGCAACCCAAAGCCACCCTGTCTGTTAGCTTTGCCTGCCACCTCCCTCGGGCTATCCACAGGGAGCCAAACCCTAAGCACCAGCAGGCCATCCTCGGGATAGGGTAGCAGCTATAGGCAAAAGCAAAGGCCACTGTGGCATTGTCAGCTGCCTGTGTCAAGGGACAGAAAGACAGCACTCAGGGCTGTCTGGGCAAACAGAGAGAATCCAATTCACACACACCCTCCACCCCCGCCCCCACTCTCAAGGAGAAGATACCAGGAGGCTGCTGCCTCTGCAGACAGAGAGGCCATTCGCTTGAGTCATCAGCCAGAGGGTTCAGTGTTATGGTTTTAGAAACACACACACACAAGGCTGAGTATTTTTCCATCTCTAAAGTTTGAACTGTATGTATTTTTTAAAACACTTACGAACATGCCATCCTACACACCTTATGCATCAGTCTTCAAGCAGGCCTAGAACACACACACACACACACACACACACACACACACACACACACACACACCATTGCAGAGGCCCAACCAAAGGTAACTAAAATTAAGAACTAGTTAGTTCCTTGAAAGAACAAGTGCTTACCAAATAGGTATCTTAAAAATATTTTTAGGAAGTTTGAAAACCACTAGGAAGCCATGAAAGTTCATTTTTTAGGCCAGCAACCTACACATAAGTCTACATAGATTCGGAACAAAATGATCTCATTCATGTCAAAATGAGCACCAGTGAAGAACGGTGTTTTGGGGGGAGGAGTTTTTAGTGAAAAGTTCCAGAACGTTTCAAATCACATGCCACATGCCACACTGTTTTCTTAAACAAAGCCAACAGTTAAGGAGAGTAATTTTTCATTCTTCATGATTCAGGGCAGAAATTTTAAACGTCACTTCTTTGTGAGCAATGGAGGCCAAGGAATGTCTAATGTCATCTTTGGATCTGATTTACACTTAAGGATGTGTGCACTTGAGTGCAGAACCAGAAGAGGCCAGGAGAGGGTGCAAGATCATGTTCTGTGCTGCCTGATGTTGGTGCTGTGAACCAAGCTCATGTCCTCCTCATTCTTAACCACTGAGCCACCTCTTCAGTCCACATTTGAGTTTTTGTTGAGCTTTTAAACTTTAAATCATCAGTTTACCCCCTCGCCTAAACCACGATAACAACTACTTTGTTGTGCCTCTCTTTATGTCCTCACAGTAAGTTAGCAAGTACGTTAATGCCTTTGCACTGTGTCATGGGAAACTTGAGACCATTTGCTCCTGGCATTCTTTATTTTTTTTAACTTTTATTTATTTATATTTTATGTATGAGTATTCTGCATATGTCCTTGCATGCCAGGAGAGGGCATCAGATCCCACTAGGGATGGTTGTGAGCCACTGTGTGGTTACCCGGAACTGAACTCAGGACCTCTGGAAGAGCAGCCAGTGCCCTGAATCACTGAGCCATCTCTCCAGCCCCTCCTCTTGGTAGTTTTGCTATAAATTCTTGTTATGAGGAGCCCCCTTCCTGCAGCCTCCCTCTTCTGACTTGTTTTTATTTATTTATTTTTTTAATAGGTATCAACTTTGCTGTAGAAAATCTTTGCTGCCTATGCTAAAGATTAGGTCCTGGGGTTCAAGATTTCAACCCTAAGCCAGTGCAAATTCAAGGCCAGCATTTCTTATTGGCTTCATTCAGCCAAAGTCACAGCAGAGTAAGGGCTGCCTGAAGACAGCACCCATAGTTCTCAGCACTGGTTTAGATTCTGGTTTCTTCTGCTCTCCCCAGTCCCCTACACTCTGAATATGAGTATTTGGCCTCTAGCCAAGTGTCCTAGCTAAACAAGATACTGTTATATTTACTTGACTGCACAGGGGCCCTCTAAGTCTTAGAAGATGTTTCTGTCCCTCTCACAGTAGGTGACTATATTTTAAAACAAGTAGCAGATTCCTGGGTTGATAAATTAACGATGATGCTAAACAGAGGAAACAAAACCAGACCTCAATAATCTGGTTCCTCCCCGCTGAACAATTAGTGTTTCCCTGTGCCCAGTAAATA